TTCAACTGAAAGGCGCGCAAAGTATTCAGAAAGAGGTGGGAATAGCGACCGCAGCCGTCGGCAAAATAACTGATCCGCACTTCGCAGAGAAGATATTACAAGAGAATGGGGCGACACTTATATTCATTGGAAGGGCGTTCCTAAACAACCCTCACTGGCCTTATATGGCGGCCGATGTGTTGGCCAACGAGAAGACCTTTAAATACCCGAATCAATACGACTGGTGTATCGGTTGGAAGGGTTTTGACAAGTGGAGGAAAGATGTACTAAGAGATCAAAATAACAATTAATTTTAACGAATTATTCAAAAAGTGTTAAATATTTGAATTCACTTTTAAATTAATAAACATTTAAATTACTTAAATCTAAAATGAGAATTTTCTGTTATATTCTTGATTTAAAATTTTTATTTCATGTTTAAATTCAATATAATTATTACAAATATAACAAATGATAAATTTTACAATATAAGTTACTGTATAAAAACTACAGGTAAAACAGTAGATTATTGATACATGCCAGATTTGTGCTTATTGTGTGACCACTTTATGATTGAACAAAACACACTGAAACTGCACTGGTAATATAACTTAGAGAACTTATTAATTACAGATAAGAATTACTATACTGTACTGTAACCAATATACCATACCGTATAAACCAATCGACTAACTATTGTGCTATTATGATAAAACTATGTGCTTAATCAAAAAGGTGACAAGAGCACTTATGACTTTTAATTTGATGACTAAATTATGACATAGAAGAGATATTGATAAAAAATTTATATAAAAGGATATAACACTGAAGCATATAATTAAAGCTTACAGTTAAATAAATTAACAAAATATAAGTTATAATTTATTAATAGTAAAATCAAAGCAATGAGTGATTCAAAGCAATCACTCTTATTCTCACCGATCACTATACGTGGCGTTACTCTCAAGAACCGGATAGTAGTGTCTCCGATGTGTCAGTACTCTTGTGAAGACGGGATCGTCAATGACTGGCATTTAGTTAATTACGGGTCGTTTGCGACCGGAGGGGCCGGTCTGGTTGTGGTCGAAGCCACTGGTGTGGAGGCCAGGGGTCGGATCAGTCCCGGATGTCCTGGTCTGTGGAAAGACGAACAAATAAATCCTTGGAAAAGAGTCACCTCTTTCTTGAAATCTCAGGGATGTGTGGCCGGCATACAGATAGCGCACGCCGGACGTAAGGCGAGTACAGTTCCTCCGTGGGTGGGAAGGGACTCAATTGATGACAAGGAAGGCGGTTGGCCTACAATAGGCGCCAGTGCTATAGAATTTGGTGATAGGGTGTGGAAAGTACCCAAAGAGGCGACAATTGAAGACATCGAAGGAATTAAGCGGTCGTTTGTGTCGGCCTCTGAACGAGCTGTGAGGGCGGGGTTTGAGGTATTTGTTAGAAATGTTTACTCAATTAAAATTTATTAATTTTGCAACTTTATTACAATTAGGTGATTGAGTTTCACTTCGCACATGGATATCTGGTCAGTACTTTCCTGTCGCCAATCACTAACCAACGGACAGACAAATACGGCGGAAGTCTTGAGAACAGAATGCGTTTGGGTTTAGAAATTGCTGAAAGTGTGAGAAAAACTTTGCCACAGAATATAGTGATCGGCGCCAGAGTTTCGGTCACCGATTATGTCGAGAATGGATGGGATATCAACCAAACCATTGAATTCGCCAAACAATTGAAGAAACTTGGGCTCGATTTTGTTGATTGCAGTTCAGGTAGTATTGTCCCTAACGTTGATCCGTTAAATACAAATGAAGTTCAGATAAAGTCTGCGGCGAAAATACAGAAAGAGGTGGGAATAGCGACCGCAGCCGTCGGCAAAATAACTGATCCACACTTCGCAGAGAAGATATTACAAGAGAATGGGGCGACACTT